TTCCCCTATCAGCTTTCTAAAAGTTTAAATAAACCCCATAGCTTATATCCGGTAGGAAGGTGAGGAGAAAGTGGAACATTTCTGGTGGTGGCCTATGTCAGTTGGTCATAGGCCCCAGGCTTTTTAAGCAAGCCTTTTGCTATCTGCTGCCCAGATGTTAACTTACGACATACATTACTACTTCTGCCAGGAGAGAGTAATCCAATGCTGCATATGGAGAGGAGAACCATCCAAAGACTTCATTAGCTGATGGGATGTGTGGGCACAGTGCCTTTCAGTCGTGTATTAGGCTTCTGGCTATTCATGTGCTGACTCTGTTTGCGGGGGAAAGTCTGATTACTACATAAGAGTGCTGCTTAACTTTCCCCTTGCCAAAAAGCAGGCATTTTTAGGTACTAGCATGCTGATTCAACAAAGCACTTGAGCATGTCCCTTAAAGTTCAACATATACTTCTTCCCTAGTCAATGAATGTAATGAACTGAAGCACAAAGTGCTTTGCTGAACTGGGCTTAAGTCGATAACCTTTTGCACAGGGTAGGTTTGGTGCAGGTGACAATTTTACAGAACTTCCAAAAGACTTCAATCGTTGTAGCTAGTATATAAAACCTACTCCTAAGTAGGAGGTCAGCAGAGAGGTTCGTGGCGTGGCTCACTTGGTGAAGGGGCTGGATGGACTCATTCACTCTGCAAAAATACCGAGGAGGACTTGTGGCACCTTAGAGACTAACCAATTTATTTGGTCATAAGCTTTCGTGGGCTAAAACCCACTTCATCGGATGCATGCGGTGGAAAATACCGTAGGAAGATATGTACACACACAGAGAACATGACAAAATGGGGGTTGCCACACCAGCTGTAATGAGACTAATCAATTAAGATGGGCTGTTATCAGCAGGAGGGAAAAAAACGTTTGTAGTGATAATCAGGATGGCCCATTTCAAATAGTTGACAAGAAGGTGTGAGTAACAGTAGGGGGAGAAATTAGCATGGGGAAATAGTTTTTACTTTGTGTAATGACCCATCCACTCCCAGTCTTTATTCAAGCCTAATTTAATGGTGTCCAGTTCGCAAATTAATTCCAATTCTGCGGTTTCTCGTTGGGTCTGTTTTTGAATTTTGTTTGTTGGAGAATTGCGACTTTTAGGTCTGAAATTGAATGACCAGGGAGCTTGAAGAGTTCTCTGACTGGTTTTTGAATGTTATAATTCTTGACATCTGATTTGTGTCCATTTATCCTTTTGCGTAGAGATTGTCTGGTTTGGCCAATGTACACGGCAGAGGGGCATTGCTGGCACATGATGGCATATATCACATTGGTAGATGTGCAGGTGAACGAGCCTCTGATGGTGTGGCTGATGTGATTAGTTCCTATGATGGTGTCCCTTGAATAGATATGTGGACAGAGTTGGCAGCGGGCTTTGTTGCAAGGATAGATTCCTGGGTTCGTATTTTTGTTGTGTGGTTGCTGATGAGTATTTGCTTCAGGTTGGGGGGCTGTCTGTAAGCAAGGACTGGCCTGTCTCCCAAGATCTGTGAGAGTGAGGGATAGTCTTTCAGGATAGGTTGTAGATCCTCGATGATGTGCTGGAGAGGTTTTAGTTGGGGGCTGAAGTTGACGGTTACCCCTCTGAAACCTGTCATTCACTCTGGTGGCAGTTGAAGGCCAGACTCTCTTAGCTTGTGCTTTTCTTGATATTCAGCTGCCCAGGTGAGTGAGTTGCAGGGGTGTTGGAAGGAACATGTGGCTTCTTTTGTGAAAAAAGTGATCTCCAGAATGTGGTGCAGCTTTTCTGCCTCATTCTGGGCCTCCCAGCTGGAGGTGATGGTTAGTGTGCAGGCATTTTACTGTGTAGCCATCTTATGAGGCCATCAAACCCTAGTCAGACTAATGGCCTCACTTCTCTGAACGTGCAACTCAGTTGGAGAGAGATTGAGAGGAAGTGAATGCTTTCACATGCTAATTTGGTAGATGGTGTTGAGGGCTCTGGGGATTAGCCATTTCCCCCACAAGTGTGATTCCTAATTAGTAACAAATACTTTGTAAGGGGCGGCTGCTGAGTCATAGTAAGTGAAACCAAGGTTTGGCTAAACTCTAGACCCTTGGCAGGTTTTATAAAGTCTAAATGCAATGGAAATATTTCTACAAATCTTTGAATTTTCATGAAAATGGATCCTTTAACATAAACATTTCCCTGCACTATTTAGCCCCCAAACACTTCAAGATTGGGCTAGTTTATTTCCATTGTCAAAGCTGACAGAAGTGCAAAAAGGGTAAACCATGTAAAATGGTGATAAGTAGTTTCATAGGGAATGTTATTTTCACAATCTAAGGTGGTGGTAGAAACACAGGTATGGTCATTTTGTTCTTAAAAATACAACAAACATGGCCTTGAATGGTAGGGAACCCGGAAGAATTAACCAGAGGTCAAAAGTACTGTGTATATGCATCCTATCTTGAGCTCTGGGTTAGTGTGGGTCCCTCTCCCTTGAGCTGTGTGAAATTCCCCCTTTCTCCCCAAAAGAGCGAAAACACTCTGAATTTTGGAACATATTTCAAGCCCACCATGGCCAAGAAAATGATCTGGAAATTTGTAAATTGTCTTCTGTGGGGCCCCTTGTCCTTTTTGAAGTCCCCCCTTTTATTGGCTTTCTGAGCCAACGTTTTATACTAGAATTCCCAACAGCCAGTGCAGCTCTAGCCAACTTCAGTTAAACTGTTTGTGCAGAATTGTGTCCTAACACTGTGAGAATAGTGTCAATTTAAAACCAGGGGGCTGATATAAACTTTTCTCCTGTCTGATACTACATGAGTTTTAATCAAGGCCCTTGAAAGAAAACTGGCCTACCAAGGTCATTGTGTTTGCCACCCTTGACACTTCAAATTCAAGCAAAGTCTAAAATGAAAAGCCAGGTATTACTGATACATTCTCCACTGATGTCCCTACTGTAAGGACTTGTATCTGTGCCAGCTATTACATTGATCTGAGAAAATGTATTGATTCCTACTGACTTTTTATTTTTTTAAGTTAAGATGTTTCAAATAGTTAATACAGCCCCAGATTAATATCTCCTGAGGCTCTTGGGTGATGCAATTAATTTTTTTATATATACTTTTGCCAGTCTGTACAGGTCTCCAGTGGAAAACTGTTTTAAGCAGGCATAGTCTGGTCATGATTTTCCATTATGGAGTCAAGAATTTTTGAGCAGATAATGCATTTATATTGCATATTTAAGATCTGGCAGGAAGGAAATTTTAAAAATGAACTAGGGTTGCACAAATCAAAAGGTTAGTCTGTACGAAGTGTTCAGTTTCAATCCACTGTAATCAGAGTTGCTGCCAAACACTTGAATAACTTCCCTTCTGTGTGTTTCTCCGTTAGAAAGAGAAAAGGAGATGAAGTGGACGGAAATGTGACCTCAAAAAAGAAACAGAAAAAGGAAAAAGACAGAGAATCCAAGCAGGAGAAGCTGTTAAAGGTTTGTTGTTTGAGCTATCCCAAACTTTTTAAACTTTCTTTCCAAAATTTAGTGCTGTTGAAGGGTGCTGGGTTGACAGCCATGGCACATAGAGTCCTATTTATTCACAGCTACAGGATCTAGAGTCTTATTTATTCACACAAGTACAGTGTGAACTGCGGCAATGCAAGCATCCCTCATGCTGCCCTGTTAGTATGCTTCATCTGTAAAGTGGTGAGACGCTAGTTCACTATGCAAGCCCGTTCAGACCTTGGCCCCTCAGAGAAGTTAAGACACTTGTGCTGTGGAGCCTTTTTTGCCCCTGATAAGAGAGCACATCATTCCAAACAGGTCACCAAAAAGGTATTGGATGGTAGCGCTTGAAGTCCTTGCTGTTGGTGGCTGGATTTGAACGGGTGACCTAGAGGTGAAAGTCTCATCTTTCAGATAACTTGTTTTAGTCCTTTCTATGCCACTTTCTGGCTCCAGGGATGCTATTAAAACTGAATGTTGTTGCCTAAGATCTTGGAGCATATAAAATGTGAGAAGTTGAACAGAGACAAGGTGTGGAACTAGGTCAATGAGAAATAATATCACTTGCTCAGTTGCACCCTTTTGTGACTCATCTGTCCAGTTCTTCAGTATAAACTTTGATAAATCCTAGCTTTGTGTATTTGGTTTAGGAAAGACAGTGGAAAGACTTTCTGATTTGGTTTCAAGAATTTTATAGACATTAAACGTTTGGCATAGATATCTTTCAAGAAAAAATTACCTGCAGCTTTTCCTGAAATTGAAGTCCTAATAGTATGGCTATCACACAGCTTACATAGAGCAGAAAGGCCTTTTAGTTTTCTGCTGCTTTATTTTGTGATTTTAACTTGTTACATCCTTAACAGAGCACAATGTTCACAATCTACAGATCCAGAAGGTTTCAACTGCTACAATTTATCATTCTGAGAATCAGGGTTGGTTTGGGCTTAAACTCTTAAATTCATCATGGTTTTTTGTTTTTGTTTTTTTTCTTAGTATGATGAACTCATTTGTCTTTTCTACTGAAACTAGAAATTACACTGTTTAACGTACATATCTGCTACCCATTATCACCATGGTACAGAGAAAACCACCTCTAAACACACACATGACAAATACATGTGCATTATTAGAAATGTCTCAAGTGATATTTTAGTGTCCAACATTCTGTCATTATCCTTCCCTTTTCTCCCTCTCAGTGGAAAGTCCCAAAAGAAGAGTTTCTAGATTTTTCCCTTTTTGCTGGATGTCTGACCTTTATAGTTCCTTTTTATAGGGGAGTGTGTGTATGTGGCCTCGTAGCTTAAAACTGGCAGTACGAGTCAGGATTTGTGGGCTCTACTTCTATCATGTGACCTGTTGTATTAATATAGATGGAATATGTGGGCCTAAAGAGTCAGTGGTGTTTAACATGACCCCATCACTATGCAACATTAAACAGAGTTAAACAAGGTTCAGGATTTGGTTTGAAGAGACCTCCGCTTGCTGAGTACTGCTACAAACCTCATAAACATATTTTTGACCTTTTATTAAAGATACAGAAAAGAAGGAAAAACAGTTAAAGCATTTGAAATGTAAAATATTAAGTAAGATTTTCATTTGAACATTTATTGTTCCCTTTCCCTCCAGCTGGATTTTTAAAAGGACTCCCCCAAGTCCCCAATTTGAGAATCTCTTAGATGGTATTAAAGATGGTAATCACTGTCCTTCCGAGGAAAAGAGAAGTTAGTTGAGATGGGCTGGAGCAGATGTTGTTAGTCTGATGCCATTTCCTAGAAGACAAAACAAGACAAACACACACTAGGGGAGAGAAAAGCACAGCAGAGGGAGAAAATGCATCTTGTCTCTCTGGTGCTGACTTTCACTTGCAGCCTCACAGCTGGAAAAACACAGTTACAGCACACAATCTCATCAGTCACACCGAAACCTGAGAACTTGTAACCTCATTGGGCTGTTTGCAAGTGTTCCTTTTAGTTGCCTCTTTCTGGTTTGTTGGAAGCCTGACAGTAGCCTGCTACTTCAGGATTGCTCTTCTTGGACAGTGATTGCAAATATCCAAGCTACCAGGTTTTCCTCAACAGGAGCAGACAGAGTTGATTTGGAGCATCAAAGACGAGCTGAGAAAAGTCTGTTCCACTAATGACCTGAAAGAGCTGCTGATAGCCAACAAACAGGAAGTGCCTTCTGGGGAATCTGCTGTGAGTTGGGGTTTTATTTCTTTTATGAAAGTGACTGTCTGTCTGAATCCGTGAGGTTCATTCAAAGCGATGTTGCTAATGACAGCCAAAGGTCTGAAGCGAAAGCCTATTGTAAAATCTCAAGAACAGAAAAATCAGTTGGATTGAACACTTGGCAGAGGTTTGCAAACTGCTCCATGCCTTTCTGACATCAGATCTATTCTTTCTTCCCAGCAGCTTAATTACACTAAAAGAAGCTAAAACTACATTTAAGTCTTTCCTAATGTTACTTATTCACATAAGTAATTACTGTAGTTGCCACAGTGTTGTGAATGGGATAGGAAGTGGCTTTTGCAATCTGCGATGGAAGGTGTGAGCCATCTCTGACTTGGAGTATTTACATTTCCTAAAGCAGTGCTAAAGCCTCAAGGGTGTTGGGGGGGATAGAGGGGGCTGGGGGGGGACCAGGGATGGGATGGGGTAGGATGGCTACAGTAGGTCTCTAGGATTAAAATGGTCAAGGACCATTTTCCAGGGAGGAAGATTAGATTATTATGGACTATGCAGTGTGTAACCAAATGTAACACCCATCCTCCAGCAGCATTTTTAACTTATTCCAGTGAAAGCGTGCTTAGCACTTTACAATAAACATGCTGTCTCAGACACAGAGCAGAAGCCTTGTCCTGAGGAGACGACAGTCCAAAGGCACAAGTGGTGCCTGTGTGTGGACAGGCAAACTTAGTGACGTGTGGTCAAGGCTTTGTGCCACAAGTAGTTTTGAGGAATGTGTTTTTATTTATTAGCTAGTTATAGATTCAACAAGTAACACGGTTTGTCTTCAGGCCAAGATATTCAGATGTGTGTGAGTTTGCTGGATTCTCTGACACCGTATACGATGTGCTTGCTGTGTGTGCTTCCACTGTTACCCTGGCATGATTTGTTTGCGTCTCTGTTGCTTTAGCTCTTGGACCGAGTAGCAGATGGGATGGCATTCGGAGCTCTGCTTCCCTGTGAGGAGTGCAAGGGGCAGTTTGTGTTCAAGAGTGATGCATACTACTGCTCAGGGGACATCACTGCCTGGACGAAATGTGTTGCCAAAACACAGACCCCCAACAGGAAGGAATGGATAATCCCAAAGGTAGACACAGCAAACTTAACTATCTGAAACTCAGGCTGTTAGTTCTTAAATTACTCTATTGCTCGTGGAAGGGAAGAATAAATACAACTTGGTATTAGTGGGCAGGGCGTACTGCAGCTTCTGTGCACCTCTGCCTCTGAGAATGGGAGGAGCTGCTCATAGCTAATGCACAGGGGAGATTGTTTTACAGTAGCAGTGGGATGGAGAGATGTCATTTCTTCCATTCCAGAACTTTGGGCCTCTCCAATTTGTCCCGCTGCTGCAAGAGTGACTTGTGGTTTGGGTCTGTGATTTTTAGTGTAATTCCTAATAACTGGCTCATTTTGCTGTTTTAATTTTTCCTTTCTAACTGAGACAAGTGATTCTAAATCTGTGCTCTCAGAATTTCAGATGCTAATGTCTGAATGCCAGAACACTATAAGCAATTATCGTCTTAAAATAAACAGCTATGCAGTTTCCTCTGATTTCCCTCTGAATTGGGAAAAGCATTTTCAGAGACCGTGTTCATGACTTTTAATGACTTTTTAACGAGGGCGTTTAAAAAAAAAATTGCAACTCCTGCAGCAGAAATGTTGGTGAAATATCAACTGAAAAAACCAAGGTTTTTCCTCCACTTTGTTTTAAACACTACACTGAGGAGAAAGAGCAAATGTGTCTGGGGAATTAGGTTCTTGTGTAACAGGAAGCAGAGTTCTCTAATAGTTAGGGAAGGGGATGGGGAAGTGCTAGGACTCCTGATTCTATTTCTGACTGTCACTAAATTGCTGTTTTGACCTTGAGCAAGTCACTTCACCTTTCTGTGCCTTAGTTTCTCAACCAGTAAAATGGGATAATTACCAACTTTGCATGGGAGGTTGTGTGGCTTATATAATGAATTGATTGTGAACCACGTTGAGATCCATGTAAGAATCGTTCAGTAGTAAATGCCAAGATCTGACCAATACTGAATTTAGTCTTTTAACTCTGTAACAGTATTAGTAGGTTTTAAAGTCTTCTTATAATGCTGCCCCCCAGGAGTTCCGGGAAATCTCCTACCTGAAGAAATTTAAGTGTAAAAAGCAAGACAGAGCATTCCCTCCAGAGACTGTGGCTGTGAACGCAGTGCTTCCAGCAACAGCTTCTGCTCCTTTGGCAGAGAAGGCGTCTGTGCCAGCAGGTACATGACTCGCTAGGCGGTGTTCAGAGCCAGGAGAGACTGGTTTGAATGGGAATACGTGTCTGTCCAGTTGCTGGAGACAAATAACATTCATTTTATGCTTTCCCTAGTGTGGCAATGGGGAGGGGAATGGCAGGTGTCGGTGCTGCCTGTGGGATTTCTCCTGGCACTCTACTGGCAAGGAGGCATTGATTGGTCTTTTGAGAAGCCATGGCTTCAGTGTGCGACCTGCTCACCAAGCTCGCTCCACAAAGCTCCTTCCTGTTGCTCCGCTCAGTCACTTGTCTGCTGTACGGCACTTCAGGAAGGGGAACGTGGATGGCTAATCACATGGTGTCCCTGAAGTGCACTGCAGTATATTGTACTCCTCCTCCTGCTCCAACATCAGGCTGAATCGCCATGGTGAGAAGCAGAGGCAGCCTCTTCTGTTCCTCACCCCTGATGTGGATAGATCCCAGCTTCAGTCTGTGGACAAATGCATTTGAGATCCAGGTTATGCTTTAACAAGTCACCTAGGAATTTTAAAGGTTGAACTGCCCCTTGGGATCCCCTTTCCCTGCCACGTTTATAACTGTGTTTGTGGAGAGCTCATACAACTCCTTGGGCAGTGTGACTAGGGTTCAAATGAAACATTTAATTGGGTGGCTTCTTGCTTGATTTTCTAAGGAGCATCCATAGACCTTTGAATCACGTGTTCCACATCCAGAATTAAACTGTTAGGGCAGTAGCTTGTTTGAAATCACTTATTTGCATTTGGCTTACCAGTCATTGGCTTCTCTCACTTAATGGTTATTACCTCTACCCTCTTGATCCCAGACTCCTCCAACATTACCCATTTACTTATCAGTAGGAGCTACTTTGATTTATTCAGCCCTCAGCACTTGTAACAGTCTTCAGTGTTCCTGTGATATGTTTCAGTGTTTGTGGCTGTCTAGGCTGCAAAATCTATTATAGGTGTGTTTGATCTATAACATGATAGTGCTCCAGCTGTGTTACCACTTCGATCCCGAGTGGTTACAGAGCCAAGACAGCTCAGTATCATATCTGCTTCACACTCTGGTCTCGTCGAGACATCCTCCCTCTCCAATTCCCCCAAAGCAGCTTTTCAATGGAGGAGGTGCCCTTTGTGGCTTAAATGTTACCTTTTGGTTTCTCTTGGGTCCTCCCTTCACTGTACGTGGGAAAGGGAAGCTGTGTTAGCACTTCATAGCCAACAGTATGCAAGCAGTGTCTGCTGGGAAGGTGCGAGTGCCGGGGTAAAACCCTTTTCATTTCTCCGCCCCGCTTCCCAGGAAGCTTACTACAATGTACACTGCGTTATGCTGGCTTGTAGGTGCTCTGTACTGACGGTTGCTCAGAGTATCAGATTCAGGATCTGTGGGTTTGGTGCTCAGTGCTCTTTACTTACATGATGTTTTTATTTCTGAACAACTAGATAAGCCATTATCCAGCATGAAGATTTTGACCCTTGGAAAATTATCCAGGAACAAGGAAGAAGTGAAGGCTATAATTGAGGACCTGGGCGGAAAGGTGACAGGGACAGCAAACAAGGCTACCCTGTGCATCAGCACACAAAGTGAGGAACAGTGCTATATCAACAGCAACCTTAGGACTTGGGAGTTAGGAGATTATAGAGGCCATAGTTAAATTCCTGTGTAAAGGCTGGAGGTGACATTCTGTTGAGCCATGTTTGGATAGTGGGTTTTTTTCATATTCTTGGAAAAGTGAATAAAAGTATACTTTGTAAGCATGACTTTCTATAGCGCTCTTAGTTCTGAGTGATCTCCTAGTGTTTTCCTGACTCTGCAGTAGAACTGATGTCAGGAATAGCTATATTTCTGTTTTGGATTTGAAAGGACTAGACCGTGTTTTAATTGTGAAGTGGCTTCTTTTATGTAACTGGTAGCTGAGGTTGATGTAGGTATCTACATGTCAAATTTGGGGTGGGGCGTAACTATTTAATAACATTCATTCACGGCCTCGTTGTGACTATTTCAGTGTTAGGTCCTGCTCCCAATGAAGTAATAGGAAAACTGTTGACTTCAAAGGTGCAATATCAGGCCCTTATGGTGTAGGGGAGAAATGTCCCTGATAGACAGTTGGCCTGTAGGATGCTACCACAGGCCTCATCGGAGCAGCTCCCACCAAGCCCCTGGCCCAGCTGGGAGGTGAGGCAGGGTTTGAAATCCAGAAAGTCACTGTGCAACAGGTAACTTTGTTTTAGCCTAGACGACGCTGTTGGGGATTTTGTTTGGGGCAGGTGTGGCACATGCAAAGCACCTCTTTAAAACATTACAAAGCCTGAACCAGCACAGCAGGGCTAGAATCCGAGCGTCTCAGAAGGGCTCCGCGCTGTCTTTGTCGCTGTAACGTTTGCTCCAGGAAACTTGGATTACGGTTTCCCTGACTCTTATCCCCCTCCTTGCAGAGGAAATTGAGAAAATGACCAAGAAGATGGAAGAAGTGAAGGAGGCCAAAGTCCGAGTGGTCTCAGAGCAGTTTCTGCAGGATGTGAAATCCTCCAGCAAGGGCTTCCAGGAGCTCCTGTCGCTGCATGCGCTCTCGCCTTGGGGTGCAGAGGTGAAGCAGGAGCACACGGAGACGTCCCTGGGAGGAAAGTCCAGCGGGCTCCCAAACGTGAAGAGTGCTGGGAAGGTCAAGGAAGAGCAAGGTGAAAAACACAATGACTCTTGTCTCCACAGGAGCGTTTGTTACCGTGTGTTTAAGCATTGCTTTACCCTTCCATAGCATGCCTCTTGTGTGAGGGTCTGAGGAGAATGGGTGGGCTCCTCACACAGCATAGGTACCCTGGCTATAGTCCAAACTCGTCCCTTTCCCAAAATTGGGCCCTTATTCTTTCTTTGAGTAACAAAGCCCCAAGGCCAGACCAGCCTCAATGTCCAAACTCCCTCCCGAACAGGCTGTTCGTAGAGTTTCTCCCTGCCATACTACCTCTCCCTCTTCTAGCTCACTCTTGCCTGGGAGAGAGAGAGACGGCCTCTGGTATTCCTTAGTTTGAAATAACACTGGGGGAGCCAATGACATAACTCTGCTTCTCTATCCTTATACCTGAGATACTCTGCTGGTATAAATCCACACACCCCTATGCTCTGTGACTTACTCTGGGTCATATATTGAGTGGCAGAACCCAAGATTCCTGGGTTCTCAGTCCCATGCTCTACCAGACACCCACAAGTACTCCTTTTCTTTTTCCAAAATACAGTGACTCTTTCAACAAAATAAATCTGTTAATACTGGTGACAGTCCCCATCTGAGCAATAGGCAAGCTCAGGTACAAACATAGGCTTTTATATAGGGTCCAAGATGAGTAGGTAAGTTCAATGTATATAAATTAAACTTCAGAAACAATTGCACTGAGTTCAGCCTTGTGAATTTATCATCATTCTAGCTAATGTGCAAAAGTTGTAGAGAGACCACTACCTTGTGATGCTGAGTTCATGGGGCACATTTGAGACTGTTAAGGAGGCCTGTATAATGTCTCTGTCTAGAGACAGCCAGTGCTACACAATACCTTCCTCTTCCATCCATTTCTTTGGTGTGTGAATGTGCTGTCTCCATGGATCCTTCCAACCTTTGATTGCTCAGAGGTGAGGAACAGAGTTCATGATCCCCAAACTTAAATTTTCACCACATGTTGTATGTTGCATTAACAGCCTGGCCCACAGCAGCAGAATCTGAATGTATCGTTCATAAACAATTGTCCGGGTTTTAATTAATGGAGGCAACTCTCACCAAAATTCTAGCAGGATAACTAACACATTCCACCTGTTTGGTGGGGGCAGGGGAGAAGACAGGATGGCCAGTTCCCAGGTTAGATCACGTAAAGTGCAGTGTAGCTGGAAGTCAAAGTGCAGTGACTTTCTAACATTGCTTTAGAAGAGCAGTGTGCTTTATAGAGGTGGAACCTGTCGGTGTGAATCCAGACAGGATGAAAACTACTCTACTGCTTTTAAAGAACTTGAGCATTGATTCAAGGAGAGTTCTTCAGACAATCCTGCTTTATCAGATTAAAAATGTAAGTCTTCCCATCTCTTTCTTCAGGAACCAGCAAGTCTGAAAAGAAAATGAAGTTAACAGTTAAAGGAGGAGCAGCAGTGGATCCTGATTCAGGTGAGTGCTGAAAACCAGCTGTGCCTCCAACCATCCTAGCCAGAGTTTGATCCATTTGAAACCATGCGTTCACATCGCAGTCCCCATCAATACCCAGCCCTAGCCGGGGAAGCTACTGATCCAATCAGCGGACCAAATTCTATGTTTTAAGTTCTCCTCTGCAAAAGAACCATGATGGCCCACACCTGAGATTTGAGTGCTCTTTGGTTCCCAGTGAGGTACCTAGGAGTTGTGGATTCTCAGCACCTTTCGCGCTGCCTACCCCATAGAAGAAACATTTGCTTGGTGAAATGTTTAATGCTGGTGCTCATCCTGGATATGCATAGAAATAACAATGGCTTTTCCATTGTCTGCATGCATAAGAACGGCCATAATGGGTCAGACCAAAGGACCATCTAGCCCAGTATCCTGTCTTCTGACAGTGACCAGTTCCAGATGTCCCAGAGGGAATGAACAGAACAGGGTTCTTTTTTGAACCCTGTTATAGTCTTGGCCTTCACAACATCCTCTGGCAAGGAGTTCCACAGGTTGACTGTGTGTTGTGTGAAAAAATACTTCCTTTTGTTTGTGTTAAACCTGCTGCCTATTAATTTCATTTGGTGACCCCTAGTTCTTATGTTCTGAGAAGGAGTAAATAACACTTCCTTATTTACTTTCTCCATGACAGTCCATGATTTTATAGACCTCTATCATATCCCCCATTACTCGTCTCTTTTCCAAGCTGAAAAGTCACAGTCTTATTAATCTTTCCTCATATGGAAGCCGTTCCATACCTCTAATAATTTTTGTTGCCCTTTTTCTGAACCTTTTCCAATTCCAATATATCTTTTTTGAGATGGGGCGACCACATCTGCACACAGTATTCAAGATGTGGGTGTACCATGGATTTATATAGAGGCAATATGATATTTTCTGTCTTATTATCTATCCTTAATGATTCACAGCCTTCTGTTTGCTTTTCTGACTGCCGCTGCACATTGAGTGGATGTGTTCAGTGAACTATCCACAGTGACTCCAAGATCTCTTTCTTTAGATCCTATCATTGTATATGTATAGTTTGGATTATGTTTTCCAATGTGCATTACTTTGAACTTATCAACACTGAATTTAATCTGTCATTTTGTTGCCCAGTCACCCAGTTTTGTGCCTGTGTGTCTTAATATTTCTTGGTTAAGTCTGCATACACAAAATTAGTCTGAATAAGGAAAGGAGATACAAAATGACTACCCCACCCTGGCTCTAATTCACTACCTTTCTTCGTAGGTTTGGAGGACTCTGCTCATGTCTTTGAAAAGAGTGGTAAAATATTCAGTGCCACGCTCGGCTTGGTAGATATTGTCAGAGGAACCAATTCCTATTACAAACTGCAGCTACTGGAGGATGACAGAGAGATCAGGTGGGTTTAATTTCCCATGGAAATGTGGGGGTTTTTACAGTAAATTTTTTTTTTTTACAACTGCCAAATATAAATAGAAATGTCTTCATGACTTCTTTTAAAAATTTCTGTGATGTTTGTTTTGTTCTGTATGGAAAAGTTCCTTTGTAGTTCTGGAAACCCAACTACATCAACATCGCGTAAGTGCATGAGAACATGGAAGTGAAACTGACCAATGCAGTTTCATTTTTGCCGAATAAAGTGAGATGGAAAAAAAGTAAACCTACGGGGTGAAATGGAAATTAGGAATTGATAAGCACCTGAGCAAGTCTGGTTTGTGCTCAGTTCCACTGACAGTGAAAACATCCCAGATTGAACAGTTGGGGTTTTTTAGATAAAGAATTAGGGTTAATTAAATGATGTACACCCAAACTATAATGTCCTGGGACCGGTGTCTCAGCATTCAAGAGCAGCAAGGCAGGATTTGGCACAAGTGTGCCCATTTTATTTTGGGACATTATTTATGAAGAGACGTGCAGGTTGCATTTTTTTCCCTCTAACTCCTGTTTGGTGCGAGGTGACTCTGAAGCCTCTGGAGGCCAGCTCAGTTTCAGGCTTCTCCACATCTGTGTAAGCATGTAGAAATCAGTACCCTGAGGTTTGGCAAGATGTATTGAAATGGGCCAGGAAGCATCATGCCCCATCTCGGCCAAGCATACATCAGAATTGTGCACATGCTATACTATTGAAGAAGGTGCCGTCAAGAGGGCCTTGGGGAAAATTGATTCTCTAGGAGGAGAGAGAATGCACAATAGGGCTGCGGATAAGCTGCCTATTTCAGCTGTGGATGACTTATACTTTAAATTGGACTCTTGTTACCAGTTCCCATATCTGGATTTCTGATTGGTATGGGATGAAATTTCAGGGCTGGTAT